AAAGAGTACAAAAATATTACTGATGTAATAAAATTATTAATGCAATTGAATATCTGGACATAATTCCCACAGAGAACTGTGTTCTACAAACACATACTCTTTTGTTTTGGGTTTTTGTCAAATTTTCATCAAATCCTCCAAGTTGTGTGTCCAGTGAGGCTTTTCTCAGAAGCCTTTCTTAGTGCCCTTTGGGATTTTTTTCCTGTGAGATGAATTTTTTTCACTTCAGGAGTCCAAATGAAAATCCTGTCATATTGATCTATTGAAAAACATCTGCTAAGGGTTATGTTCACAGGTAGGTAAGGGTAAAGTTCAGCACACGCAAAATCCATGCAGAGACTTGAGCTGCAGTTCCTCTAATTGTCTAAAATGGGAGATTGGATGTCTAGAGCATCAGCACGTGGCACTCTGGAGTAATGTTCAGACCCTGAACAGGGCTTGAAAATCAAGAATTTGTTTTTTTTTTCTTCTTCAGCCAATGTGGCTAACACCCAAAAAGTTTTACCATGCATTTTTGAAAAATAAACAGCCAACATCCTTGTTTGCCTTCATGCCCAGTTCCCCCAGTGAATGGATTGCAGCTCTTTGCCACTTCCTTCTCACTGTTTTGCCTCTCCTTGGGAAGCAGGACAGGGTGTGGGTCTCAGGTCTTCACTCAGCTTCTATAGGCACCACTGACACTGCCAGTCCTGAAACTACAGAGCTCAGGAGCTCTGCTGCCTTTGAATTGGGTTTGAGATGATAATCTCTAGTCACTCACCAAAAACACTTGAAAACCCAGGAGGTGGCTCTTCTCCTGACTGGTCACCAGTCAGAGTTTCCCACCCTGGAGGGAAGTAGGGGGCTTGGCTGAGCAGAAATAGTGCCTGATCTCTCCCAGTGAGGATGACCTGGGATTTTTGACAGTCTTCCCACCACATGGGAGCACTAGCACAGCCCTTTCTTGGGGTGGGATCAGGGATGGGGGGATATAGCACAAGTGACAAGCTGATGTTGGAGTTGGCTGAGAACAGTGTCATCACTGCAACACTCACCTGGGGCAGGTGAGGTGGGGATTGGTCTTCCAAAACCCCTATGGGGGGTTGAGTTGTTCCTCCTGTGTAGAACCCAGGAGCCACCACTGCCTGAGCCCTGGAGAGAAGCCATCCCCTTCTCACCCAATTTCATACCCAGCTGCACTTCCTTCCCCTGCTTTAACACATTTCCTTATGCTCTACACCTTGTTAAACTTTGCCTGATAATATTGCTCCTCTCCCTGAATTGTACCGCTGGGGTCTGGATTCCTCTCCTCCACCCCAGTCCTACACAGCCCAGCTAAATAAATAAACACCCACCAAAGCCTGAATCATTCTTCCCATGTGGATGTGTTTCTAGAGGGCTGACTGTGTGTCCTATCTCATGTTCCTTTGCAAAGGAGGAAAGCAGCGTCGCAGTCAGACAAACCAGCTGACAAAAAGGAAGATGAAAGCCAAAACGTAAGTGAAAAGCTCCTCACTGTTGCGCTCTTGTAAATAAGTACCAAGTCCTGTGCTCATTCACTGTGTGTGGCAGGCAGTGACAAGCAGTGCTGATTCATGTTCCTGGGAACATCACCCTATAAACAAGCGTTGCCACCTTAATCATAGGTGAGGTAATGTCCAAACCAGGTGAATAGGTCTGATCTGAGTGTTGTAGGGGATGGTAGATTCTTGCCCTGTAAGAAGATGCATTGAACCTTCTGACAGGTCAACTTGAGATTCAGTTCATTCTTCTTATTTTACATTTGAGGGTTCAGAAAAGCTGAAATGGATCATCCACCACGTGTGGATGGGCAACCTCCATGCAAAGTGAGTGTCAGCTCACTTCAGCCCCCAAAGTGCAGAGAAAGAGAAGAAGAGATTTTTTACAGAGAGAGTGCTCAGGCATTGGAATGTGCTGCCCAGGGAGGTGGTGGATTCACCATCCCTGGAGGTTTTCAAGCTGAGACTGAATGTGGCACTTAGTGCCATGGTCTAGTAACCATGTAGGTTGGACTTGATGATCTTTGAGGTCTCTTCCAACCAGGTTGATTCTATGATTCTATGAAAACATGTGAGGGGGGATGAAGGAGAAACAGTGTGTTAACCATTAGACCATTCAGAAGTCAAAATATATGTTTGTGATACCTGCACTAAAATGAGAATTTGGACAACTTCAGAGGGCTTTGATTCATTTTTATTTTGCTATTCTGTCAGTATATTGTCCACAAAAGCAATTATACAAGAGGCTTTATTTGACTGGGTCTATATACTGAACCTGATGCAGCAATTTTGAGTTCAACATGCATGAAAACACTTTTTCACCCATTAAACTGGTAAAGCATGAAGAACTTTCAAGAAATGATAGGATTTACACTGTGTCCCTTCCCATGTGGTGCTTTTCTG